CCAGGACCTACCGTGGAGCTGATCTGCCCTCTGACCATCGTCTAGTCATCTGTAAGATGCGCCTGCCATTCTTCCACTCCGGTGGTGGGTGTACACCCAGGACCCCATTCCAACCTAGATAACTGGTCTCAGTTATCTGATGAAAGTTGCAAGCGAGAATTTCATCATCGCTTGCGGCTGGGGTTGGCATCGTCCCCCACTCCTCCTGATGTCGAGGGTAAATGGGCGAGGTTTAGGACTGTGACTCATGCAGCTGCCATGGCTGCTTTGGGTACGCGGTCCAGACCTCCCCAGAGACCCTGGCTGACAGAGGAGGTGTTCAGGATGGTTGAGATAAAGCGAAAGGCCCACTGTCATCGGCTACAGAATCCCACGTCTGAGAATGAGGAGGCTTACCGCAGCCTTCGCTCGGAGGTTCGGAGAGCCGTGAGGCGCTGAAAGGATGGGTGGTGGTCGCGGGTTGCTGAGGAGATGGAGTCTGCCTCAGTGGCCCGTGATCACAAATCTCTATTTAACTCCATCAAAAAAGTAACCTGCGGCACCACATCTATTACCATAATTAGGGGAAAAAACGGTGATCCAATCTCCGACCCCCAGGAACAGGTTTGCAGATTTGCTGAGCATTTGTGTGAGGTCCTGGGGGAGGGGAAATCCCTCAGCCAGGAAACATCGTGGCACAAAGTGGGGATGACCCTGCTGAGGCTGCAGTGCCTCAAATATTGGAAGAAGTCACCCCCTGTGAGTGGCTGGTTGAGGTGCCATCTGTTGAGGAAGTACTGAAGGCGATCTGGAGTCTGAGACCAGGAAAGGCACCGGGTAGAGATGATTTCCCAAGCGAAATACTGAGGGAGGGTGGCGTTTGTGCACAGACTGCCCTATATGACATCATAACAAGTCTGGACCGATGGACGAGTTCCACAGGATTGGAAGGATGCCCTGGTGGTTCCCCTCTTTAAGAAGGGGGACCGCACAGACTGTAACAACTACAGGGGCATCTCACGCCTCAGTGTGCCAGGAAAGGTCCTGGCAAGGATTATTCAACATCGCCTTGCCAGGCACGCTGAGGAGAGGCTTGCGGAGCGCCAATGCGGTTTCAGGAAAGGGCGGTCCTGCACAGACACCGTATTTTCTGTCCGTCTGCTACAGCAGAGGTGTAGGGAATTCCAACAAGACCTACATCTCTGCTTTATTGACCTGGTCAAGGCCTATGATACCATCAGTAAGCCTGGGCTCTGGGTTGTTCTTCGTGCTTTTGGAGTCCCTGACCCTCTGCTCACGATCATTAAGGACCTTCATGATGTTGAGCGGGCCCGGGTAAAACTACGTGGCCGGGAGTCAGAGCCATTCCCTGTACACCTTGGGGTGCGACAGGGATGTCCTGTGGCTCCCACATTATTTAACATCTATTTGGATCACTAAGTTCGTGAAGCCTTCAATAGCTGTACCAGGGGAATCTCCATTTGGTACAGATATAATGGGAGGCTGATCGATGCCCGGGTGCGGTCAAGAGATGGCTCCCTATTGCTCAACCACGTTATGTATGCTGATGATTTGGTAATAGCTGCTCATTCAGAGGAGGAGTTGGAGACGCTGCTGCTGAGACTGGAGCATGCCACTAAGAGATGGGGCCTTACCATCAGCCCCACCAAAACTAAGCACCTGCCTTGGTATTTTGCACCATCGGATACTCCACCCCCACAACTCCCAATCGGTGATGGGGCAGTTGTGAGAGAGTGGAGAGTTTCCCATACCTGGGCAGTGTGCTTATGACTGGCTCCAGTTTAACAGCAGAGGTCTCACTCCGAATCAGTCGAGCGGCAATATCTTTTCATCGGTTGCGTAACGCTGTGTGGAAGCTACCTGGTCTGTCGCTCCGCACTGAGCTTCAGGTCTTCTCGGCCACGGTCATTCCCTCCCTTCTCTACGCTTGCGAAATGTGGACCCCCCTAATGGAACATCTTCGCCGGTTAGAAACATTTAGGCTAGCCTGCCTACGATCCATCCTGGGTTTAACCAGGCTGGATTGCGTGAAGAGCTCACAAATCTTTGAAAGATCTGGGCAAGGTCCTATCGGTGAGCTCCTCCGGCAGGCAAGGCTGCGTTGGCTGGGTCATGTAGCCCGCATGCCCAGCCACCGCATGCCGAAACAGCTTTTGTTTGGCCGGATCGAGGGGGCTAAACGGGTGCGGCACGGGCTAGAGAAGAGATGGAGTGATGTGGTACAGGAGGACGTGGAGCTGAGTGGACTTGCAGATGACTGGTACCAGCGGTGTCAAGATCGGCCTCTGTGGAGGGGGCTCGTGAAGGACGCTACTGGGCAGTTGGAGGCAGTCGCCCTCCAACAACAACGAAGGGCGGAGGAGCGACGCTCACAACAACGAGCGGAGCGCCGGGTGGCTAAAGCACAGCAGGTTGGCACAGTAGGGGGCACAGGTGGTGTATCAGCCGGTCATCTCAGTCATCTTAGTCAGTCGACCCGTGGCACTTGGGTCTGCCCCGTGACCTCCTGCCAGCGGGCGTTCGACACTTCACGTGGCCTCAAGGTGCACATGGCCTGGCACAAGCGTCGTGGTGACGTCACCGCCACTTAGTGGCGAATGGCGGTTGTTGTTGTGTCTCTGTGTTATCTCTCTCTGCTTGTGTGTCTGTCTCTGTGTCTCCGTGTCTGTGTTTTGTCTCTCAAATTTAGCAATCTTTGGAAGAACGCTAATCAATGAGGTAGGGTGTTGACTGTTATGTTAGCCGACTCTCCATGTTGTATTGCATTATATTTCTAAGTTTACTAGATTTGTTTTCTCTTTCATTTCTACCTGATGATTGCTTGTGTTGCAATCGAAACGTCGTATGCTATTGTTTACTGTATTTTTTTTTCTACGTGACTTTACTCAAAGAACCAAATAGTAATTCCCGCAGTCACGAAAGCTCAAAATCAAGTTCGTACAATAGTCGCTTCACAAACAATATCCATACGAAAGAGAGGGATACGCACGGAGTGTAAATACTGTAAGTTTAATGTCAGCATTGTGGCGATTAATAAAGTTACTACGTCAAAATCATACTCGTCATCGTTAGCCACGATTTACTCTCTGCTGTTGTCATCATGGCAACAACAATCCATCCCACTTCTGCAATCTAACCGGGCACCTTTTTGCTCCCATCTCTCCTGAAGTCACCCTTCCCCCCCAGGTGCTTTCGTTTCTTCGGCTGCCATTCGGTCCAACAATCATCATGCCTGCTAGCCGTGAGGTCTCCTGCCCACGTGCGCTTACAGGCCTTCATGTCACACATCTGATCCCCCGTTCCACGTGTTCCTCACTGTCGGTGTCACTCAGAATGTATTCATACTGGAGGAAGCATCGACCTCTCGACGCGACTCTGTGCACTGCTCAGCTTCGTTGTCCGTGTTTCTGATCCATGCCAATGGAAGGAGGCGTGCACTGAAACCATTCTTGACGAGGCACACAATTGGATGCCGAGTTTTAGGACCAAATTTTCAGGTTTTCTAACGGCAAAGGCACTATCTTGATTTGAAGTTTTCGTGACTGCAGGAATCCATACTCTTTGGTTCTTTAAGATAAAGTCACGTAGATATAAAATAAATCACGACGTTTCGGGCGCAATACAAGCGTCCGTCATCAGGTGGGAAAGCATGGTCTGCTGCTGAGGCAGCCTGTTTTAAAAGGTTTGAAATGGGTGTAGCCCAAGGGTCATGAAGAAGTGGCCGGGGCTAGTGATGTTAATGTGAGAAATTAGCATGTAACTGTAAGATAGGCAAATGCACTCTTTATTAGTCTGTTTATTTCATGATTTTGATTTCGATTCGGCTTCAGTAATCAAGTGGTGGACAGGTGGCTTGGCAGCACTGCGCCGAATGCGTGCACAGTACTATCCTGTATAATATGAACCCAAATATATATGATTACTAGCTGTACTACCCGGCTTCGCCCAGGACTTAGGATCCACCACGCCCGGCCGCCTTTGTCTCCCCAGTGGCGATGTTCATACACCACAGCAGTTACTCGTTTGAGGCTGAGTCGACCTAGGGGAGGCCCATGAGCGGTTGAAATAATCGTCACCGGGGGTGGCCGTGAGCGGGAATCGAACTCGGGTCGTCGGGTGTCGTAGCGCGGCGCGCTAACCACTACACTACAATGCGTTACGCTTCCACGTGCGCGGGTCACGTGACAGATTTGACGTCACAGCTCACTTGCCGTGCAAAAAATATCTGCATTGAGCTCCCCCCCCCCCCCAAAAAAAGTGAAGTTTGTTGCATGTCGGGAAGTACGCTAAACATTTTGAACAAACATATTCACAACTTTGCCTTTAATATATATGGAGATGGAGATAATAGGGCACGTACATCGATGAAACTTGAAGCGATCAAATTAGTTCATGTGCAGATGCTGGATGAATCTTTGCATCCCAAGATCGTGAGACATGGTGGGGGGTGGGGGGAGCGAATTGGAGAGGCCTTCATCGATATGCAGTGGATCGATCACGTCTGATCATCATCATTGTTCGCTCTAACCCACGTGGATTTTTCGTACTGTCGTGGCCACGTTCAACGTGGAGGCTCAATTCTTGGAATCCACGCGCATCCGAGACGAATCGTGCCCATCGATTCTACCAGCGGCTGCAAATCGTCACAGGGCGATTACATCATCACGAGGCCTGATCACGTGGTATCGATGCGCGCGCGCGCACCGGAAGTGTAATACGCACTTCCGTCCGTTAACCGGAAACGGAAACCCTCGCTCGTTTCATATAACCCCCCCCCCAAAAAAAAACTCGGTCGCGCCCCCCCCTTCCCCCACGAGCCCCGCCCCCCGCCCAACCCCCCCACCCTGCGGCAACCCCCTCCCCCTCAAGTCCCCCCCCCCACCCCCTTTACACAGCCGCCCCGCCCCCCGCCTCGCGCCGAGCGCGCGCGACGTCTCCCCACATCATTAAACAACAACAACATCGCCGCCGCCGTACCCCGCGTCAAGCGCCGTGTGTGTAACATCATCGGCGACATCGTCACCATCAACAACCCCCCCCCCGCTGCCGCCGCCTCCACGGCGGTCCGCCTTCAAACCAGTCGCAGTTGTTACGGCGGGCGGGCAGCAGCAGCAGCAGCGTGCGCTTCGCCTGGTGTTATCGCGAAGTTTATGAATATTTTAAAAAATATATATTTTTTATTTTATCCTTCCCATCCCACCACCCCCTTTGCTCTCTCCCTCCCCCGCCGATGCTGCTTCAAGCAATGGCGAATGGGCTTCAACGTAAATATTAAGAGTCTTGAAGGCGGTACGTGACTTCACAGACATTATTTCACGTCGTCGTTTACGCTCTCGCCCTACTGCCCGCCGCTGCTGTTATTATTATTATTGCCGCTGTTGTCGCCCTCGCTGCTGCTGCTACTGCTGCTGCGATTGTCGTGATTCTAGTCAAAGGGTGCTGCGTTGCTTTGCCCATCGCCCGATCACGACGAGAGGTGCGTTTCGGAACGCCAAAGTGGTCTCGTTACTGTCGTACCGCTAGTGACGGACCCCGCTTTGCTCTTGCCATACTATTGTGGAATTATTCCCGCCACTGCCTCAAGTATGGCCACTCGGTGTGTCGATGCATGCTCATTTTGCTCCGCCTATACCGCGCATTTATGACATCGGTAAGTTGAGCGGTGGTTTGTAATGAATGTACTTGCTCGTGCCATGGATGGACTTGCCTTGCCGTAAGAATGTGCCGTTTCCACTGCTTGGCTGAGTTATTGTCAGGAGTGTGTAATCACCGTTCCTTTGCCCCCTGCTTGTTAAAACCTCTGTTGACGGCAATGGTTGTGCTCTGGTTGTACTCTGGATTTATTTGGTTTTGGCATAACATTACGATGGTATTTCTATCACAGGCTCGGTGATTAGTGTCACTAACCATAAGGTGTTTCTGCAGACAGGTGTTGGTCACTGGTAGTAGGTTAGCAGTGGTTGTACTGTATTTGTAAATGGACTCGGGGTTGTCATAACAATGTGTAAATTTGCACCACGAGCTAAGTTATCATTGTCAATGTTAGTATTTTAGTGATTCCACATCACTGTATTACCAGTGATATTGACAAAGGTAGGTTGACATGGGTTCTACTTAGAATGTCGATTATTTGGTATTATCACGTCCAGTGTATTAGTAGTGAGGTCACGTTCTCCCGTTTCTGAAAGGTAAGTCGGCAGTGGCTGTTACTACAGGTGGACGCAGGCTCATGTGATGTGAATGTGGAATTGTCATTAATGGCTCCGTGATTTAAGGGGCACCGTTATGACTTTTGACCCTTTGCTTTGATTCACGGCTCATTAAATCGATGTCTTGCAAAAAAAAAACCCTATGATGAATATTAAAGCCGTGGTGTAATTCTCTTTGATTTTACAGTAATGCATTGTATTGTGGTATCTCTTACAATATACTATCGCCGTCCTTTATAATGATTATTTATTTATGATGAAAAGCATTATATGCATGCTCTGGCATTGCTGGAGAGAGGTGTAGCGGTGCCACTGGTTCGCATGCCGTGCCACAAACCCATGACAAACTTCACTGGTGAGTGATAGCTGAACTGGTCCTGGGCCCTCTCTTCACTGACCTGCATTTACAGCGTAGGTCAAACAACAACCCCCGTGACCAACACCGCTTGGCAGGCTGTCAACCAGCAGTGGGTGGACGTAGGGCTGTACATTGTTATTTTAACGATACATTTTTGCCAAAGTATATATGACATGCAGGATACGTGAAAGCAAATGCCTCCGATAACAATGTCACTGATAATTATGTATTTCATAATCTCACGATGCCTCGTCTGAAGACTTTAATTTTAACCGGTGAGGGTTGGAGTGGTGACGCAGCAGATAGCACACTGTGTTGTGAACCCAGTGACCTGAGTCATGGCTAACATCAGTGGTGAGTGACATTTGACCAAAATGGAGAAGTATGGTCAAAATAACCCGATGACCAACACAGCGGATTGACAAATGGTTGTAAATTATTGCTGTACAGCGGTCATTCTTCCATACACAGAATACAAATGGAAAAGTTAATGTTGTAAAAAAACACTAATAATACTCTGCTATATAATAACCTGAGGTACCCTGCTAATTGCATAAGCTTTTCTATTAACTTGCAGTTCCTTGTCACAAGATTGTAATTGTTATATTGTATTGTAAATATTAACTGGTTAAACTTTGCGTTAAAGGGTGTCTGTTCATGTTGACCTGAATCCCAACCATTTCCTGTCTTTCCCCCACAAGGCGCCTGCAGTGGCCATTGACTTAATGCAGTTCGCCAGAGCCTCTTCAGTCGGCTTGTCGGGGGCCTTGCATTGAGGGCTGTGACGAGGAAGTGAAGGAGAAGGAGGAAGAGAGAACGTGAGAGAGCTCCTGCTGCCATGGTGCTCTTCAGCGGTTCACTGCGAGTGAGGGTACGGGAGGCGGCCGAGCTGAAACCCACGCCGTGGTCACTCCGGCACTCGGCGCTGGTGCCTGGCATGAAGGTGGTGTCCCGCTCACAGGCCAGCCAGCATCAGCAGCACAGCCAGCAGCAGCAACAGCTTCAGCAGCAGCAACAGCAGCAGCAGCAGAGTCCGCAAAACCAACAGCAGGGCCAGCCAAACCAGCAGCAACAGCCGCAATCGGGCCAACAAAATCAACAGAATCAACTGCAGCAGAATCAGAATCAGCAACAGAATCAGCAGCGCCCACTGCTGGATCCGTACGTTGCGCTCAACGTGGACGACTTGCACGTGGGGCAGACGCAGACGAGGCAGCGCACCAGTTGCCCGCGCTGGGATGAGGAGTTTGTGACGCAGGTGTGCGAGGGGCAGCGCATGGAACTTGCCGTCTTCCACGACACGACCATCGGCTACGACGACTTTGTCGCCAACTGCACCATCTCTTTCGAAGAGCTGCTGCAGAGCGAGAGCCTGCACTTCGAGAGCTGGGTGGGTGAGCCTCTTGGCACTGGGGTGGTGGCGGCAGAGGCGGTGGTGGTGGTGGTAGTGATGACGGTGGTGCAAGTGGGAGAATTGGCATTTTGGAAATTTCTGTGGGGGTTGGCCAGTGCACTGTAGATCGGTCGTTCGATTGTAGGGTCGATCGATCTCGCAGTGTGGCAGTTCAAACAATGATCAAGTTTCTTAAATCCCCGAATCTGTGTCCACCAACAGTAAACACCTTGGTTGCGTGTCGTAGTGTAAAAGTGTGACTTCTCCCACTTCTACCAAGATATCTGGCCGTTGTGAAAGAGTAGGCAAACTACCCTCTCGAGGGGCCGTCTAGAACTGCCTCTTGTGGAGGCCTTTTCTCCAGCTGTAGTGTGAGCAAGCTCTTGTAGGGCTGCACCTTTTTGAAACTCAATAGCAGTTCCAGATTGAAGTACTAACCTTTCATCATCTTGCTTTATCACTAAAAGAGCACCATGAGTATATTGATCAGCTTTTCTCTCTTATCTCTTGACGCAGAGTAAGCTGCCTATGTACGTATAATATATATTTTTTGTAAGTTAGGGCACTGGCGAAGCGTGCTCAGTGTTTTGGATCTCCTGCACTTTTATTATCGATTTTTTACCGTTTACGGAATATTGTATTGATTCCAAAGTAATGGAATCTATAGTGTTCTACTTTTTTAGTGCTTGATCAAACTGCTTGGCGCATGGGACACATTTTTACAGACGCATGTTGCAATGTCATTGTTCAGGTGACATAGATACAATATATAATAAACGTACAGCACTTGGTCAAGCCACTGCTAAATGAAGGCCTAACCACGCCATGTCAGTCATTGAGCTTGTTTTGATCATACTTCACCACTCCGGTCATTGTGGGTTTGGTGAAGATTGGTAATGTTTTTTTTTAATAGGTTTTTGTGCGTGTAATTATCGTAAACCCCCCCAAAATTAAATGAACATCCATAGCTGGACATGTGTGCATGGTGGCAATGGCTGCCTGTGGCCATGTTTACGATTCAACTGGAGTACCCCCCCCCCACTCCCAGCACACTTTCCAGTGATTCAATGAATTGTGATTGATATTCTTGGTTCTTTCGGTAAAGTCACGTACAAGGGAAATAATAAAAATCAAACAATACAATTCTCACGACGTTTCGATTGCAACAAAAGCAATCATTATCAGGTGTGAAAACCACAGGAATATTTTTTTTGAAAAAAGTGGCGGTTTAAAAAAAAAATATTACTGTGGTTTTCACACCTGATGATGGTTGCTTGTGTTGCAATCGAAACGTCGTGAGAATTTTATTGTTTTATTTTTATTATTTCCCTTGAACGTGACTTTTCCGAAAGAACCAAGAATATGAATCCCTGCAGTCACGAAAGCTTTAAATCGAAATTTAATTGTGATTGATTTACAGTCATGCTTTCATTTTTTTAATTTCATTTTTACCATCTCATTTTTAATTCATCCAGTTATTTTTTTATAACTTTACTTGATCCTCAATGCAACATTGGTAAAATGCCAGTTGAGTTTTAATTAGGCTTGGGCAAGACACGCTGTGGCTAGAAGGGATAATAGCAAGTAGACAGAACTTGGGACGGAGTGTCAGCCAAAGGAGAGAACACGCCTGAGAGAATAACCATCACAGAGATGAAGCAATGAGATAATCTCATGCGCAGGAGCTGGGTGGATCGCAGGATCATGAGGAATGGTGACAATATTGGGGAACCTTTTCTCCCAGCAGTGGATTGAACATGGCTGATGATGATGAACATTGACATGTAATATACACGCATCGTAAATAATCAAATCTCACGTGCATTGTTTATTTGTCAGGAGCATAATCAATTTCAGTTGATGAATATATTTTACATGCCTACTCAACGCTTTGGGTAGTTCCTAGATTTGTGGGTAAGACACGAGGTTGGCATTTATTAATTTAAAAAGATTCTGACATGATACATAGTGAATGTGAAGAAGGATTATTGACAGTATTTTAATATTTTTTTAATGATACGCCAAAATATCCTTTCGGGTGATGGCATGAAATCATTTGTACGAATCTAAAAGAATTACAGAGGAGACGAAAAATAATTGGTCCATGGATCAAATCACAGCCCGAGTCGCTACAGTGTCAAATTGTTAAATTCCTGAGACACCAAACTTTCGGTATGTGAGGTGGCCATTATATGGCAGTACAGCAAGCAGGTTGCTGACTTATTTCCGCCAATTTTACGTGTTGTATTTATGGGATATCTTTTACTAAATCACCCGGAATGTGTTCATTCCCATCAGACTTTGGAAGGTAACCAGCGTTAAATAGTGTTTGGATGGGTGACCACCGTTCACAATACAGGTGTTGTAGGTATCGTGGGCGTTTAAAGGGAAGTGCATAAAAATCCATTGTTCTATATTCCAATTCCCTTCACAAACTCGCACTGCCCAGCGTGGAGAAGTATGGTCATTTTGACCCTCACTGCCTGAACGGCGTGGGGAGGCCCTCATTCAGCAGTGGATTGACACGTGTACATGTACTGTACGTGTGCCACAGCTTTCTCCCATGCAAATTATTCGCCTATTGGTGCCAACATCCCAAGCAGGATTCTCCAGTTGGTCATGAAACTCAGGCTTTCAAGGGTGAATTAAATAATTACGCAATTTTAATCATTACATTCGGAGAGCGCTAGCACTGTGAGTGGTTAGCTCGATGCACTATGAAAACGGCAACCAGAGTTCGATTCCCAGTCACGGCTAACATCACTGGCGGATGCTATAGGAGCCGATTCTGGACTCCCCCACTAACAGTCCACACTGACGAACATGGTGAAGTATGGCCAGACAACTGCCACAACTGACAACCGCATGACGAGAGGCCTTCATCCTGCAGTGGATAGACAAAAGGATATAAAGCTTTAACTAATATATTCTGCGTAAGAATGACATTTTTTACATAATGAAGTATGGTTAAGCAACTCCCATGACTGATATGGTATAGCGAAGCCTTCATCCAGAAGTGGATAGGAAAATTTAAATAATTTATTGAAATGTAATCATCACATGACATTGCACTTTTTGTTTGTGCATGGATTAATTTTCGATGTGTTACATGTGTGTGTGTTATATGCGTAACACATGCTGTGCATGTAAAAAAAACATGCCAAGAGGTGATGTCGCAATATTTCAGCTTTTTACAAAGATTCACCAATTTCCTACTCTGGCAAATCCGGGCCCTTGATATGGCTGCAGGCCTATCCCTCTGTGTCGCATGGAAAAACATTTTTGAAAAAAAAATGTTTTGTTTAAATGTTGGAGCTCTGCAAGTTATGAGCTCGCGGTATCATTAAGCGGTAGGGGCTTGGAATATGGATGTACACTATTAATATGAGTGGCGCTTCTCGCATAATTTCACGGTACAGCAGTTGTACGGACAGCATGGTGGTGGGTGGGAGGGAAAGAACAAAGTGCTTGGACGAAATGTGCAATTAAAACATCCGGTAGCATTAACTTTGCCGCATGCCTTGTTTGTGCTGTTCACATTGGAATAGCAGCAGATGTATACGAATGCATCCATAAGGCTCTACTTGGGTTTGCTTGCTGGGGCAGGGCGATATACAACCAAGGTACTGTGTAGGGCTTTCGGTGAGAAGGCAAATGCCACAGCTAATGAGGCATTCCTCGTCTCGGTGCTGCATTATTAGTTTCTTCCTGCAGAGAGCTACTGCTATGATATATGTGTGTGTCACTATCTTCCTACCGCTGTGCACGTGCCACCATTGTTAACACCCATGGGTATCAGCTGAGGTGGTGTTATCGTGCTGTTTTATATTGTGCGCCAAGGATTGGCGTTTTCGAAATGTAGAGGTGCGTGACAATGATATGATTATTGTTAGCAAAACTGTATATAAGCAAACTCAGGATGAGTTTCGATCATCTGGTTCTCATCAGAAGGGTTAAGCTTTTTCAACAAAATTTGTTATTGGGCAATTGGCTGAGAATGTGTTTTGGTAGACGTATATTTGTTAGGTGTGTAATTAAGCATTTTAAATCTATCCTTATGCTTGTGATGCATGCTATAAATGCATCGAGTCGCGTGTGTGAAAATCATACATTTGCAATTTTCTGTGTGAGAATCAATTATTTACAGTTTATGAAATGCATTTTCCAGTGTTACCATTTGGGAGATTGAGCGGGGAACAAAAACGATGCAAATGATAGAAAAACAATGCAAATGAGATGGCCAAAAAGAGGCCAAAATTAACTGGGTTCTTAAATTGAATTGTGATCCCGAGTTTTGACAGTTTGTGAAATTTCTCGAAAAAGGTATAGTGTACACATACACAATTCACTTGTCATTTCACTGCCGGATGAGGGTGACTGCATAACGTATGGGCCGTGGGGGGGGGGGAGAGGTTATCTGGCCATACTTCACCATCTTTTGTTCAGTGTGGGTTACTGGTGTAGCGGTGGGGGAGATGTGCGGTGAAAAATATTTGTTTTCCCCCAAATTGGGCGAGTACTGTTAAGCTTGAAGCGCAAACAGTGCGGCGGTCATGGTAATTTTACACCTTGCTTGTACACCGATACACCCACTTTTGTTTTGAATACAGTCGTGTTCCATTTAAATTAATTCTAACCCTCGCGTTGTCTAACCGCCTCGGCAACCAATTTGATCGGTCTGAATTGAGCCGATCACATCGTTCCAAGCCGCTGGGAAATGCAATCAGCCGGTGCAGTTCCCCTGCCGCCTCTCCCTTCAAGGTCGACAGGTGGAAGGTGGCTCAGTGCTATCTTCATCGTAGTTTCGTTTTTTTTTACTGCGCAGGCTATTTCTTCCAAACGTAACATTCATCATCATTTAATGTTCTGTCCTTGGCTTTGTCGGAGCACGGTTTTCCAGGTTGATTACTTTTGCACGTTGCACTGTCCCGCAGTGCATCTATTTATTTTGATTAAACAGTTTGAAAAGACTCTTGAGTGTAATCTCTGAGTCAATATTGGGTTAAGAAATATATTTTGACCCATATGCAACCACATTTCTTTGAGAACATTGGTGTGTATCTATAGCCACTGAAAATAATATGAATCCTGTTCAAAGCATGGCTTTCTGCACTTACCACAGTCACTAATGGGGGTTTTTTTTTCCCTTGGTTGAATGTGCTGGGTACAGTAGCTGTAAAATATTCTTCACGAACTGTTGTACAACAGGTTTAATTAAAAAATGTGTTCATATATTTTAGTGGGGTGTAGGCATATTTTTAAGGCAGTGTTATGAACGAAGCCAGAAAATGCAATCGTAATAAAATTATATTAATGATACGTCGTAGGTAAAAGTATCGGTTGTAATGTAGCATGTTGTGGAATATTGCCATTTTGTGATAATATAAAGTTACATCACGTATTTTGTCAAGTGAAATCGTTAGAAAATATCAAACTAGTATACCAAAAGATGAACTTTACGCTGAAACACGCGTCATGTCAAACTCGTCAACATAAAAATACATGGCGTGAAAAGCAAAGCTTTATTAAAACTTATCTGAGAAATTGCAGCGAAGTTTATCAACAAATTCAAACAAGGTAATCAATAAACATAACCCATAGACGCGAGACGGTGCTATGCAACTCCCGCTGTAAATGATTAGTGATTGCACGGCCATCTGCAAAATTTGTCGCTGTGCCCACAAACACCTTCCTTTAAAGTTTTAACATTTCCCGTGATCTTTGCAGGGTCCGATTAGTTCATTGTAATGTCTAATTGGTCAGTGTGGTATTTACTGTGTTATTTTTCCATGGTTAGATGTAAGCTTGCCGACGAAGCAAACGTCAAGTTGCTGCCGCAGCGGAGCAGTGAATTTATTATCATGAAAAAAAGATACGTTTTAAAATGTTCTTTGTATCCAGCATTAAGTATTTCAGTCTTAATGCAGTGTCCTGAAAAATTGCTGTCATTTTGAGAGACTAAAACCCCATACCATAGAGTTTAGACCGAAGAAAAATCCATTGGCTGATGACTGACTGGCTCGCAAATGTCATCTAATCCGCAGCACAATTGCTCTTGCCTTATCTCACACATTGCCTTGCAGAATTGTGTTGATTTCACCGCCGCCATGTGGTCGGGTGCTATCTGACACAAGCAGACCGGCTTACACATATCCAGTGGGAAAGTATGAATGTTTAAACACTGATACTCGGCAGCTTTGAAGGGATTTTTTTTATTTGCAAAAGTTATTTTAATGACGACTCACTTTTCACGTGCGATTGCAAGGCCTTAGGCAACCGATCAGGTTCAGTTTGCAAGTGAGGTTGGTGTGTAATGACAAGAAACAATATGTACAGTGTTTTTTTTGCATTGTCGTGAAGTTGTTATTATATCCAAAGTAGTAAACGAGAAACGAAGCATCCTTATTTAACTTTGCAAATGCGAAGTTGAATTTGGGTGTGAGCAGACTTTAACCACAGTTTTTGTGTTGTAATCTGCAAGCCGTAAGGATGACCTGCTTAGTTTTACTGAGATCTGTTGCTTGAGTAAGTTATATTCTTAGTTCTTTCGGTAAATTCACGTTGAAGGGAAACAATAAAATAATAAAATATATATAAAACAATATATAACAATATATTTTATTATTTTATTGTTTCCCTTCAACGTGACTTTACCGAAAGAACTAAGAATATGAATTACTGCAGTCACGAAAGCTTTAAATCAAAATGAGTAAGTTATGTTTTGTACATGTGCACGTATAGCCGTTTTGTCAGTTCACTGTCTCGCTAAGGGGGGGCCTCTCATGCCACGCAAGTCGTGGTGCTTCTTGGACCATACTTCACTACACTGCTCAGTGCTGGCTGCTGAAAGAGGGGAGCAATAAACATTGGAGCATAGTACAGTACAACAACATGTTGCTGCACCGCCGCTTGTTGTCAATGCATCCCTACACTTTAATTATCAACTTAATTGCGGGTAATAATTCTTTGTTTTAATTATAACTTTAATTATACATTAACTATTAAAACATATTTAGCATTCATTGGGAGGTAACTTCATTTCAATCATTCCAATTCCATTTCTAGTTCAGAATTTTGTGCGTGACTCACTCGTCGGTTTTTTGTTAATAAATTCCAGACCCTCAGAGGGAGCCCCCTTATTCAACATGTCAGGAATACAAACTAGCCTGTCAGACCGCGCGCACTGTAATACGATGCGTTAATGTTTAATACAAATGTCAACAGATTAAGCAAATGGGTATTTTCATGGCATTGGTAACATCGCATTGTTGAAGTGGTATTTGGCAGCATGCTCTGTGTGGACTTGGACTTAGTGTGCCATGCTGTACCAGAGTCGGGGCCAGGGGTCAGAAAACAAAATAACAAGAGGAGCCATTTTTTTTCGAATTCGGTACAAAACTCAATATTTCAAGACCCGCAATGCAATGCGATTACGTACATTACGTCACGAAGCAGTCCATAAAGAGCCGCACGCGGCTCTGGAGCCGCGGGTTCCCGACCCCTGGTCTGGGGCGGATTGTAAGTAAGTGGAGGTGCGTTCCAGCAACCCCTATGCTGGCCATGCGGTGTGTATGGGTGTGGCAGATCTTGCCGTGCGTTGTTTCAAATGCCGATCGGCTTTCATACAGAAGTGGTGCATATCCCCCAAAACCGACACCCGCTGGCATTTAGTTCACCTTGCGAATGCTTTGATGTAAACATCGGTTCATGGAATTCATGGGTCACTTGTTCCAGCCAAACACATCGGTGCTGTCAGGGATATGGATTTACAACGTAACGTTGCACCAGCGTCTTTTATGTGTTCCAGATAGCCTCACTTAGGTTTCAGTATTTTTCAAGATGGTCATGCATGTATGGCAAATTCCATTTAATGTATGTTTTTGCATGTGGGAGGGAAAATTTGCTGTCTGGTGTTAAGTCACAGAGGGGATAGCACTCAGAGAGCATCTGATCAAATCACCCAGAATGCTCCTTATTTTGTCAGATCTAAGCAAAATTGTGACTGGCTGGTACTTTGATGGGTGATGACCATGTACAGATCATAATAGGGCTGCAGGACTACATGGTTGATAGCAGAGAGCAGTGCAGAAGAAATATTATTTTGTACTGCACTTCTTTGCTCTGATGTCTATACCCTATGTACTCAACCAAACCTGCACTCACGAGCATGGTGAAGTATGCTCAAATTAATGGCCATGAAATGAGGAGGCCCCCCTCATCCAGCGGTTGCTTGACAAAAAGGGCTGTACATGTGCAACAGTCCACACAAATTGGTAAACGATCCCATTTGCAATGCTGCCAACTCGTCGCCACCTGGCAGCGTTAACGGGTTTGAGAGATTGAAAAGTCGAGGTGACCCACCTGCGAAGTGCCATATTCTAGTCATGTGCCACCAGTAGCTGGTGACATGGAGCTGCCAGTTGTCTGACTCAAACCTGTGTCTCTCAGGTTTTGTTTTATTAGTTATATCATCATCATCATCATCCATGATTTGCTGGGTGAAGGCCTCTATTTTTAGTGATTTTCTTATGTCTTATACTTGGCACTCCTATGGTTTTTTTGTATTGTTGTAACGTTCTGACCCCCGTGCCCCTACAGGACATCTGTGATAAAGAGCTTCATAGCTCATCGAATTATTCCAGTCTAAAGATTCTGATTCTGAGCAGCATCTCTCATGATGCCACAGGTCATCTGCACATGAGCCGACTTTATTGATGCATCTCTGATCGTACTCTCGGGCTCTATTCCCTTCTTTGGATTCCATTTCTGCATGATTCACATTTCTGGACATCGTCACTCAAACTGCAGTTGGTAGATGGAACAATTTGACTGGTTTAATTAATTATCGGCTCTGATGTGTATTCATGAGGCTTTTCAACTCTAAACTAAAGAAAATGTACGAACATGTTATCGTGTTATCCTGTGCTGTTGGTCAAGGTACTCTTTTATTCTAGAATAATTACATTCATTGTGTTAATATATATAAATGTGTTCACATTATTACTGGTGTTATTTTATTTTTTTGTAAAAATGTACCCCTGGATTTCAATTATACACAGTCAACCCGAGTTCGATTCTCAACCATGGCTAACATCAGGGGCTAGTGATATCTGAGCCGGTCCTCAGTGATACCCCCCTTCACCAACCCGGACTGTCCGGAGTGGTGAAATATGGTTAAACTAACAAAAATGACTGACAGCTTTGGGGAAGCCTCTTTTTTTTCAAGCAGTGGATTGACGTACGACTGTAAAGTGTTGCTCAAATTAACGTTTTACTTTCTGTATAAATTGCATTTGACATTTCTGATTTCGTGTGCTTTGTTTCAACAGGTGGACCTGGAGCCAGAAGGCAAGGTGTATGTCATCATTGACCTGAGTAAGTGTGGCGCATTCAAACTCCAACTATAGACAGCTGCGTGTGCTCTGTTTGTGAAATTCACATGCACGTGCGCATTTTGGGGCCGCGTGTTTTTTTGTACACCGGGCCCCGGCCCCGCCGTTTGTACCAAAACGCCCGGCCTTAATTGGGCCATAATGCAGCCTATTTTCAAGAAAAGTGATCTCACAGCTGGCTGCCATAGCTACAGGCAGCCCATGAGAATACATTAACAGCACGACAAAAGCCATAAACAGATGCATTCTTTACCAACTGCATAATTCAGAAGGCAACGGCTTTAAGCTTTATTCCAGAGAATGAAAACAAATCCAACTCTAATAACAGAGATATATTTTTTATCACAGTTGGGCTAAATTGAAAAACTGCCCACATTTGCGAACATTAAGAGAGCTGGAGAGTTTCAAACTTCTTCACGTTGTTTTTTCAAAACAGAAAAGGAAAATATCCTTCGCAAAGTTGAAATTTGGAAATGCCACATAATGGAAAAATAAAACGCCACAGTGAAGTCACACGTCCTTCATGAAAGGTCCACTCTAGCAAAACTATGCTGCAATACCTGCAGCAGCGCGTGCAGTTACAGTTCATCACGGGGACCTAATTTATGCATCACATTACCATGTATGACTCACTTGCACAACAAAACCTTTCCAGTGGGTTAATAACGTGCTGCCCGTGAGTCTTTCAAAGGGGATTTGTTTGGGAAGCTATCCCACGGAATTGAAAGTCTTGTGATTTTTTATTATAATACTCGATGTTACGTGCGGGGAGACCAAAAATGGAAGAATGGGTGGAAAGCGTGCATCGGACGAGGTTGTTTTTGAAAGGTTGCCTAGTTTAATGGCTTATTGATGGTCCCGCAAGAGAAATGCCTCGGGTTATTCAATCGGTGCATGCTCGATACATTTGCAGTTCTCTTGTCTTGGCCAAGTCAATAAACCATCATTTTCTCCGCTTTATTTTCCATTATGTTTAGAGCAGGGATGGCCAGCATCCCCGTTATGTTCATCGCTGTTGTTTAAATTGTGTCCACATGAGCAGCTTTCAATGCAGCAGTCAAAAGTTACCTTGTACTGCACTTAGCTGGTATGTGCAGTTACACGCATTAAAGACAACAATAGGCCTTTTAGCTGCATGTCGCTCTAAAATACACAGAGCGTTTTATAATGCGACTGTTCTCTTTCTGTAAAATAATCGCTGCTGGACTGGAAAAAAAGGTGGCCCGCTATGCTGTAAACTGAATGGTAACAAACCGCCCGTGATTATTAAATGCAATAACAGCTCCAGCTTGAAGTAATCACTTTTCATCACCCTCTTTTCACACTCAAAGCACCATTAGCAGATGAATCAGATTTTCCCTCTTCATATCTTTGACATGTGAGTAATTCCTCCCACTTAAACCCAGGATGTGCCCGATCTCATCAGTTCTCAGATGAGTAACCGGCATGTATAAAAACAGGTGGCGTAGGCTGCTGCAACCCTACATTATCAGCAGAGGGCAGTGCAGAAAAAATAATCAATTTTGGTACTGAACTATGCTGCAACATCTTATGCTCCCCGCTTTTACCACGCATTGACTGGTGTGGTGCATGTTGGCTAAATCACCCTCACGACCCGCCTGGTGGGTGGAGGCCCTCATCCAGCAGTGGATTGACAGAATGGCTGTACGTGTACATAAAATATTACCGAATATCGTTGAGGTTAAGTAACCGACAGTTACTTCGCTTGCAAAGCGTACTCCATGTGCCGTTCCTGACACGTTAACGAGTGAAAACATTGTGCTCTTGCAAACCGACCGGGTATTTGCAGCGCACGGCTCTTCTGTAATTTGCCCCGAACGTAATTTACCAAGAGCGTGCGCGCGCAATTGTTCTGCAAACCTGCAAGAGAGCGGGTCATGGGGTTGGCGGCGGTGCAGACGCCCGCTGCCTTTTACAGCTGGAAACACGGCCCCCCCCCCTGAGTGGACAAAAGGTCGGCCGCTAGCGGTGTAGAGTTTAAGCGGGAAGCAGACATATAATAGCCCTCTTGTTGATCGAAGTGGGGAAGATGAAGGGAGGGTGGCGCAGTGGGTGTGGGCAGAGCAGGGCAGCAGGAAGCTCGCCAGAGGGCAGCGTGCCAGCCACATCGGCACAGGGTTTTAAGGGACCATGGCACAGAATATACAGAAATCCTCTTTATGCAACACGTTTGCATACAGTGCGGCCCCGATATTAATGATGGTGTCAATGGAAGTGGGAATGCTGATGCATAGAGGCTATTTCGATGGATCCCTTCTTGGCTGATTTTATTGCTCTGCCCTCACAGTTGTAGTGCATAGGGCCTGCGTTATGGGCAGTAGAGTGTCATGCAGCTAAATCTGTCGTGCTGTTCGTCTATGCTCCTACGTCTGTGCTCCTTTCATCAACCTGCACTGATGGTCGTGAGTTATTAAATAATACTCTTAACCCATATGGCTTGGAGAGACTCATCTAGCAGTGGATAGACAAGGAGCTGTACGTATGCGCCTATATCTGGATGATCGTGATCCATTTGTTCACTTGTAAGGTGAATTGCCACATAGGAATGATGTTTTTTAAAGTTGACGTTTATCTTTAAGATCAAAGAGGGAAATATGTAGGCGTCATCCTTCAGAGTATAGACTCATCTAATTCGTATGCCACTGGAAATACCAAAGACCTTTGTAAAGTGCCTACACTCCGTGGGTGACACATGCGCACATGCATGCATACTGTAGATTTTTTTCTTTCCTTTCCCCTGGCGGACAGATTTTCATTCCAGCGCCTGTGGGTGATATCACGGAGCCAGCAGAGCGTGTATTAATGCGACGGTGATTCCTCTAATAGTGGCCAAGATAAATCCACTTTCTTAACTCTACGCTAGCTCTGCTGGGTTGTGAACTTGTGCCAGATTCTTACGGTGACTGGTTTGACTCTCATACCTTCACGTTCCCCTGTAAGTGCGTGGCAGGAATGCTGCCATCTTAACATCCGTGGATGTGTAAAAGATCCCTCGACGCTCTTCATAAGAGGAGGCCATTGTGTTCCTAATTCTCAGCCCGTTTTTGGAGAATTGCCAGCAATTACTAAATTACCGTACTAAATTGGTCACTTCCTGAAAACTTGCTGGGGCTACGTGCCATTAAGCTGAGCTGGAGAGAGGGATTCCTTGGGACTAAAACTGCCGTAAGGCAACACATGGCGAGTGTATTATTGTTTTATACATACATACACACAGGGTGAAGCGGTGGCCCATTGGTCATCCCCCGTTACCCGAGTTCGATTCCTGGTCGTGGCATGGACATTTTTAACCTGTCCTGGGCCCTCCCCTGCCCCCACTACACTCACCATCTGCATGACACAAACCTCTGTCACAGACACACGGTGAGGGGGGAGACCTTCATCCAGCAGTGTACTACACAGCGTAGCGTATAACGAGGCATTCAGTGCCGATGTTGAATCTGTGCACGTGCGAGCCCAGGAATGCCCGGTAGCTTGCTGTTTACCAAAGCTCGTACACATTGGCATGCAGCTCCTCGTGTTTTAAATATTCCCCAGTTGGTTATGATTTTTTTTGGGGGGGGGGGGGGGCGGGGAATAATAAGTAAATAACCGCGGGTAAAATTGCGTGCTGTTAGAATGTAAATTATGAAGGAAAAATACCAAGCCTAGTTTAAAACTTATTCAGCGTTTTGAAATTTTAAATGGCACGGTTAATCCGTTGAGCTTTTTTCAATCCTTTAACGTCGGCGTAAACAAATTGGTACATTCATAAGTACATTATAAAACACATTACTGAAATTATTTGTTCGTTTTTTAGTTGACTTGGATTTTTTGAGTAACACGCAAGAAATGTTACTATTTTGATTTGAAGCTTTCGTGACTGCAGGAATTCATGCTCTTTGGTTCTTTCGGTAAAGTCACGTAGATAGAAAAACATTTTTACTAGTTATTTTTTTCTATCTACGTGACTTTATTGAAAGAACCAAAGAATATGTTCGTTTTATTTGAAAGGATTGATGCAAAGCAGTAAATGGACACTTTTACAGATATGCGTGCTTCAAATGTAGGTGTTTAACCCGAGCTCGTATTCATGTTTTTTTTTATTGTGACCCTGCCACAAAATAGTTTTTCCCGGTTGAATGAAACCCGAACAAACGTAGTACTTGCACTTTAGATTTATTGCCAGAATTTCCTGCCCTCCATCAGCTCTCCAGACAAGTTTCCTATTCCGTCCTTTTTTTGTTGTTGTTCAATATTGCAGCGTTACGTGCCTAAAATAGACCTTTATTTCATATCTAGGTCAAAGATAGGGGACAACAATAGGGAATATACAATAACATAATGACTTGCTATTTTACTTGAGCGTTTTTCAATACGGCGAGGCTTGAGGGAGAACCCACAAAACATTTGTCCTCGTAAACATTTTCCAATTTATTGTGTTGCCAATGGTGCACGCAACTCAATAAATTATTTTTCTGCTTTTCAGTATTGGCATTTTCTTTGTATTTCCAATGAAAACTGTGAATGGCTTCTTTGACATTTCAGCCTTCCGAATTTCCGTCCTCGATTGGATTCAAGAAAGTGTTGGAATATGCATTTATAAAAAAAATATTTGGATGGGAAGTAGTGGCTGAAGTAATGTGGGGTTTAATCGTTCATAATCCAGCACAAAATGTCACGTTTTCAGTGAAGTCTGACAGTGAGCCAGTTGTTTTGCACATATGTGCGTATAAAACGAATACAATTAGGATTTATGTAGTCTCTAAATGTGATTGCATCTTCAGACGTTGTGCAGGAACAGTGGGTATACGTTTAGTCTAGAGAGACAGTCAGTTCAAGGCAGAGAAGAAGAAAGCCTTGAGTTTTGACTTGAACATGGGCAGAGGGTTGACAGCAAGGACGGCTGGAGAGGCGTTCCAGATGATTGGGACAGCGGAGGAGAATGAACGATTTCCCACTCAACAAAGTGTGACTGAGGACTTCAATGGGAAGCCTTGGTTTCTGGAGCAAAGGAGATATACATCGAGGGGAGTAGAGTGATATGGGACGACGGATTGTGTGATCCTCATTGATAGGACTAAAGCACCCCAATCTGGCTTGATTTTGGAAGATAAGCAAAGTTGAGCCTGGTTAGTACTTGAACGGAGGACTACCAGGGCTTGTCAGTTGTCGTAGGCATGGGGCTGATGGGTAGCCATGATATGGTGGTTGTTGAATGACACATCCCATATGCGTGGATTTTCTCCAGGTACTATGAATTCTGCTCACACACAAAACCATTTATAAATGCAATTGGCCAAACATCAAAAAGCAGAATCATCCTAAAAAAACACCTATTGGCTCAGTAAGGCTTTCCTTGGTTACCAATTGGGCATCATAATTAGAATCATATGCCACTCAGAACATTATGCACACATGTATCTATTTTATTACATAGCCTATTAGATTCCAAATGCATTTTAGATAAGCAATGTGAATTAAATTAAGTGATTATAACAAGAGCCAAAATGTAATTAATAGAGACTTTGTTTTCTTAAACCAATTTAGAATTTTAAATTAGATTCTTTTTACTTTAGTCTGATATAGAACTTCTCAAAAAAACATGACAATTTACTGAAGAATGCGTTATAACCCTAATTAGACCTGCATCCCGTGTGGGTCCGATGAACTGAGTGCTAAATTGTGAAAGTCGACAGTTATTGTACAATTAGTGGGCAGTCTTGATTTGAAGCTTTCGTGACTGCAGGAATCCATACTCTTTGGTCCTTTCGGTAAAGTCACGTAGGTATAAAATAAAATAAATCACGACGTTTCGGGTGTAACACAAGCGTCAGTCATCAGGTGCTTTCCCACCTGATGATGGACGCTTGTGTTGCACCCGAAACATCGTGATTTATTTTATTTTATACCTATGTGACTTTACCGAAAGAATCAAAGGGTAATTAGTGGGCAGTCTGTCCTATGGATGGGGTGACATAACTCCTCGGTTCACACTCGGCTGCTTCTTGCCAAACATCTCTCATGTGACACTACTCACCGGTCCTCAGACCATCAGTCCTCAACTCACCTGATCTTCACCACACTCACCAGTTAACACAACAGTGGGAAGGCCATTGAGATGTACCGCCTCAACGTACCTTGGTAGTGAGCGGATGAGCAAGACCGAAGCCATCAACTCGAGTTGTCCTGTCAAAGGTGAAGCACATCCTGAACTTTGTCCTCGTTAGGAGAAACTACATATACTGTTTTGATTTAAAGGTTTCGTGACTGCAGGGATTCATATTCTTGGTTCTTTCGGTAAAGTCACGTAGAAGGGAAACAATAAAATAATAAATAATAAAAAAATCTAATTTTCTTGCTGTGGTTTTCACACCTGATGATGACTGCTTGTGTTGCAGTCGAAACGACGTGAGAATTGTATTGTTTTATATTTTTATTATTTTATTGTTTCCCTTCTACGTGACTACCGAAAGAACCAATAATACACATATACTGTATCGTAAACTTTCAAATGATACCTCGTTAATTGACATTGGTGGAGTGGTCTAGGAGCCGCTCTCCAGAGAAACATATGTACATGCAAAGATACTTCCAGTAAAACCTTTTCGTCACTCGCGGACTTTTCTTCCACGAAATTCAGTTATTCGCAATGTTACGCTGGTATACCGCCTTTAAGTTTCACGGCTTTTTTTTCTTTCCCTTCGACCGTTCGCAATTTGGCAGCATGGAATTGTGGCGGAGGAGTTGCCTGCGGAGATGCACGCGTGGACTGTGACCCGTGTGTGCACCCAAGCTATTGTTTCAGTCCTGCCGCTATTCCAAACGCTGTGTCGCTTTTGCTGGTCCAGTGTCTGTTGCATTTTATGCTAATTTTGCATCATTTGTGGTGGGTATTTTTATTTTGATCATGGGGTCGTAAGCGTCAAGTGAATGGAAGAAGCGAGAGCAAAAGTCAAAGGCAGAAAGAGTGGTGAGTTTAGCTCAAAGAAGTAATTGTTGGATAGACGTGCTCTTTAACAACATCATCACCATCATCATCATCACACCCCCATCATCATCCAAATTAAATGGAACTTCAAAATGTACAGTATATATGTTTTGTATTCATTCCATTTTATTGTATTATTTGTGTTGATATCAGTTTGTTTTATTGTGCAATTTTAATTCAGTACGTGGATGCTATTTATGTGTACAGTACAGGATGAAAGTTAAAAAAAAAATCATTTTATCCAGTGTCTTCAGTCAAGACATGGGAACCTGACCCCCTTTTTCTATATAAACAAAAGTGCCTACATTCGCAAATTCTGTTTTCGCACATATTTTCAAGAAGAGAACCCTTGCGGATTTCGAGGCCTTGCTGCAGATTAGCCGGACACACGTGTGTGAATATGTAGATACACTGAACCCTGCTAGGAATGTGGAATTTCCACTACTGACTCAGGTGGTAAACAAAAGTGCACCAACCAAACTTGAGTAACTTTTATGTATAATTGTTGTTCCCGAATATACTATTAATATTAAAAAAAGTGTCTTTGTCAAACGTAATAATGTCTCTCTTCTCCATGCAACAGGGAAGCCCACAGTCAACCTTTGCTCATTTTTGCGGTAGCTCATACTCTTTTACTGCACCCATCGTTTTCAGAATATGTATTTATTCTGGTGGAATCCGATGAGTTATAAAGCTCTTTTACATAGATGTCCAGTAGTTTTTCACAGATGTGTAGTCTTGAACTCCCTGCCACCAGCCATCAGGACTATTGACTCCCTGGCTCTGTTCAAGTCCAAACTCACGACCTTCCTATCTTCATGTGTCTATGACTCGTTGCTTTACAGTGTCTTCAGATGTGGTCACATTCGGATACTACGTAAATTGTATTGCCATTTTTTTTCCTCACGAAACCACTTGTTCCTCTTTTTGTACGTATGTATGTTGAACATCTTTCGCACTGTAATAATACAATTTCATAATGCGCATTCCATCCAGGATACGGGGAAAGAACAACAAGCTAAACACAAAGAGAAGTTCTAACCGTATCGTGTGCATTGCGTGCATGGCGTCTCTGGCCTCCCGCGCGTGTCCCGCTCAGCACCCAAGGAGACCAAAGAGCGGCCGGTGTTCCGCGAGCGCGTGCGGCCCCGCAAGAGGCAGGGCGCCGTGCGCCGGCGCGTCCACCAGGTCAATGGACACAAGTTCATGGCCACGTACCTGCGCCAACCCACCTACTGCTCGCACTGCCGCGACTTCATCTGGTGAGTGCCGTTCTCACGTGCTTCAAACCGACCCCCATCACCCCCCCCCCCCCCCCCCCCCCCCACCAATGCGCCGAAACCAGTTGGGGTAGCTATCGAGTATGCAGGGGTGCGCAACTCCACCCTGGGTCGAACAGGGCAGGGGGGGGGCCCAGGCCGCCGAACTGTTTCTGAGCTCCTCTGTCAACTGCCGTTTAAGCACCTGAGATGGTGCTTTCTCTCATATGCCCTGCTATCGAGGTTATTTTTTTGTTACATGGTAGTCAAACTTACTATGTTTTAGTCCTCGGAGCTGAAATTTGACAAATTCCTGGTGTGTGAAATGCAGCATTAAATATGGTGGCTTTTTTTTTGTGTGATTCATTGGTCACCGGGCATCGACGATAAACTTGCTACCTTTGAGTACCCAGTTTGATCACAGTTTCCAGATTCAAACCCACAATCTTAGCATTGCCCGATGAGTTTTCTGACCTGGTAATTAGCCCACTGAGGTACCCTGCCATCTCCAACCTAAAGGGAACCTGAAGCAACTTTTCACATCTCCTGGAGCCAGTCTCTTTTGCATTGTTAGTGTGGCCTTGACTAATCTTGGTAGGTATACTTTCTGTGAAAGTGAACATGAATTGAGTTGCCCCCCGTTTTATAAAGGTTTGTGATACCAAAAGGGATCACATTCTATTCTTTATTATCGCTCTTACAAAAGATGTAATGATTCATCTTTATCAGTTAAAATAAATTCTTAAACTCAGTGGTATACCCATCCAATCGTGTGTCAATGAGCAAAACACCCCTATCTGGAATAATCTTGATTTGAAGCTTTCGTGACTGCAGGAATCCATACTCTTTGGTTCTTTCGGTAAAGTCACGTAGGTTGAAATAAAATAAAATTATTTCTACCTACGTGACTTTACCGAAAGAACCAGAGAGTATCTGGAATAACCTTTTGGAATTGCCATGGGGTGAATTGTCAAATGCCTACTCTCTGGGCTTTCATCTGGTAAATTAAGGAAACTCCTATTAATATGTGCGGCGACAGTCCAGTGGTCAGCGTACTGTGCTAAAAACTCTGCAAACCTAAGTTCGATTCTCTGCCATCGCCTCACTAACCCGCATCGACCAGCACGGTGTCATACGGTTTAAACAATTCCCTCGTCCGACACGGTGTGGGGAGGGGGAAGCGTTCATCCAACAGTGGATTGACGAAGGGCTGGATGTGTACATGTAACACCAGGTAGAGTATATGCTTCGTGGCAGGTGTTGGCACTGACTCCATGGCAGACGTGTGATGTGACGGGAACTTACGAATGCGATGTTGGAAGTCGGTGGAGGCACAAGAGGAGGTGCAATCAAGAGTCACTACAAAAATAGACAAAGCAGGAAGTGCTGTGCAAAAGTCAAACCCTTGGCCGCTATTGTTGGTTTACAGCAGTGAGCGTCCCTTGTGTGCAGTCGTGTCGACAACAGTATTGCCGAATGTAGAGATTGCGTAAAAGTGGGACGTTGTTAATCTTAAATTGGGCAAAAAAAAGTGTCTAAATCAAGAACCATTACCAGTAAGAAGCCTAACGAAAAAAAACATTCATCAGATATTACATTACATCAGGAATTTGCTAGCCATGTTAAACGCAAGAGGCTCGTTTTTTTTGGGGGGGCAGGGGGGGTGTGGAAATCGCAGCACTTCTGACCTTTTTACCTTCCTCTCTGCCGGTGACATTTAATCATTACCAGGGCCATAAGACATCTTCATAGCAAAGCACTGCATTTTTCTGAGTAAGAACTGAAAACTTGTTGTCGCAATTTTGTTGCCATAGTCGTGGTGAGAATGTTGAGCTTTGTGTTGCATTCATTTCATTAATGCCTTAAAAATGCTAACAATTTTCATACCGCGTTTACTGCGTCTCTGCGATTGCGTGCGACGCAGCCTGGTCCATCGTAAAAGTCCTCACCCATTGTTTAGCCCTTTGAAACTTGCAAAAGAATCTATTTCCTTAAGAAACGTTACTTTGTAAAATTGACAAACATTTACTCAACAATACAAAATGTAGATACATTACATTATTTACAGCCATGAATCTATTGCTGGATGAAGGGCTCACCATGACATGTCGTTTGTGGGAATTGTTTGACCGTGCGTTTTCGTGCTGATCACTGGTCAGAGCGGTTTTTAGTCCGTCACCATTCCCCGCCAGTGTTTTACAGCAGTGTTTCACATTGCACCAATACTCTCTACCGGCTCCCAACCAGATCCTGGGTCAATTTTAAGATCACACTGTCTTAAAGTTCCTTTATGGACTCACCCCTGCCTACCTCTGCCCTATCATCTCACTCAACTCCCCTTCACACACTACTCCAACAACAAAGGCTTCATATTGAAGTTCCCAGTCAACCTTCACTCGGTGAAATGTCACTCATTCTCATCTGCAGCCGTCTGGAATGCTCTTCCTTCCGACATTCAGAAGCCACTGGAGCTATGCACTTTTAAATCTAGGTTGAAAACTTATTAGAACTGCTTTTTGTGCTTAGTTTGTCGTCCTTCTCCCGCATCTCCGATTAGCATGGTTTGCTATGTATGGTGGGAAATACGTTTAACATACATACATCTGCTGCTCCATCATGGGACCTCCTTTGCCAGTACTAAAATACGAGAATAGGTTTTCCCCTTTTTTCTGGCAACAAAACAGGTGTTAAGATGGTCTAACACCGTTTTGGGAATTGTCTCAAAAGAAAGCTGTCTCTGGTGTGGACCAATCAGTTTCAAAGACAATTAATATATTATCAGTGTTTTTTGTTTGCATTCTGACCACAAGTCTTGTGGTTAATGCAGACATGATTCCTTGTAAAAGGTTTCAGTTTGGTGTTTTAACATCTTAACACCTATTATTGGTTCTTCGGTAAAGTCACGTAGAAGGGAAACAATAAAATATAAAACAATAAAATTCTCACGACGTTTCGACTGCAACACAAGCAATCATCATCAAGAATATGAATCCCTGCAGTCACGAAAGCTTTAATTCAACATCTTAACATCTGTTTTGTTGCCAGAAAAAAGGGGAAAACCTATTCTCATCTGCTGCTCCCTTAAGTAAAGTCTGAAGACCTTACTTTTTTCCCTCTATGGCTGAATGATCACTGTTTCTGCACAGTGTGCTGAAATGCGGTTGCAGTTAGACACTATAAATCCAAATTTTCTTATTGTAGTATTTGTTGAAGCAGGATGAGCCTTAACCGCATTCATTCTCATCATGAGCAAGCAATCATCTAATAGGTTGAACACATTTTGCATCGAGATACAAATTTATGTCAGGTGTTACCCATTACCCTCTATAGCGGCACATAATATGTAGATTATTTTAAATAATTCCATCAATAATTGCATTTAGTATCCATCCTCAACAGTTGCCAAAACACTATACATTTGGAAAGTTTCAGTTGTTTATTTGTTTTGTTGGAGCTGATACAAAAAATTAAGTGTGTCAGGAACATGTAACTTTGCCCATTTATTGTCGCCCTGGACAAACAGAGAATGGGTAATCCAGGAGTTGAATTGTGCCCTTGGGAACTCCAGTCGACAGTTGGCAGACCCTCTAGGTCTACACTGTGGCCAGGAAACACGCATCAGCGTCAAATTCATCTCTTGACACTTGCATAATTTATTTTTTGTTATATATACATTGCATGGGTGTTTCAAGGTTAACCTGCAATTGTGGATTCAGAACATTTGAAATGTAAGTGCATATTTCTCAAGACATTTGCCCTGATATGTGTATGCATATGGCCCCATCGCCCTTATGCCACAAGCATATAATTATTTAGGACATGTGTGAAATTATCACACCCTCATCACTTTTTGTCCTTTGCAGCAACATAGACAGGCCACTGTACCTCTCTGGCCTCTCTTTGTGCAGCCAAGCAGGGCCATTGCCCAAAATATCACCGAGCATTTACTTTTTCTTTTTAAGGCAGTGTTATTTTATTATCCACCAACTCGCTATTTGAAAACCTGGTCTAATTATATATACGGCTGCCTGGATTAGAAGCCACCATATCCACAGAGCCATCTCAGTACTGCAACTTATGAGCCTCCTGGTGACATCCACACAACCACGGCACAGAGCTTTAGCAGTGATTTGCTATTCCGTTGTGATGATCTGGAACAAAAAGCGCAGGTTAACCTTGAGCCACTGCCTTCGTGAATAATATTCCTCGCATAATTATATTCCAAATGAATCATTTTTCGTTCGGAGACGTCTGCAAGTTGCAGGGTGGGGTCCTGTTCACCGCTGAATCTCGGAACGTGCAAGCGGTTAACATTGATTTTATGAAGAGAGACGTAGTGCCGTTGTTTTCAAAGACATTGTTCTCACCGCAGAGAACTGTAGCGACACGACCGCACTTTGTGGTAGCTGGCGCTAAACTGTGCCACGCTTCCTCCCACATGGCCTTGTGGGAGCCTCGTTACATTTTCCGACATAAAGACGGAAGAAAAACTGATGACATAAATGTACGTCATTTAATAGACCGTTAATAAATCTTCTCTCCCATTATCGTTTGCGTTCTTTATAGTATCTTGGTTGGAAATGCAATCCAATCGTCAGCCAACTGTGTGAGCCCACACATATACAATATTAACAGTGCATTAATTTATTAATATATATTGATGAACACTGTAGCTCTGTAGCCTCGTAGCAGCGCTATGGAGGTGATATTACATTTTAAACAAAAAAGGTAAAACAAAATACGGCTGTCTTGTCAGCATCAGAGGGCTATATCCAACATCCCAACATCTATGCTGCCTGCCTTCACCAACCCGCACTGACTAGCGGGGTGAATTATGGTCAAATAACCCCCGAGGCCCACAATGTGTGATGCCATTGACCAGCAGTGGATTGACAAAACGGGATGAACATGTACATCGATTCTGAAGTCCACGATTCACGCGTCAAATCACGTGTATAAGAATCAGTGATTTTTTCATTCGTGTAAATACGTTGCATGTCATG